TGTGGCTCAAGTTATTAGCCGTTTTACAGAGAACACTTCTTACCTGATGCATCAATCACTTCAAGGTTTTCATCTTCTTCTTCACCAACATTCTTAGGATCAATAGCCTAAATTCAATAATGCAATACATTCAGGAGTTTCATTAAGAGTTGGGGATCAGATAATGCTCCACCAGTAAATGAGCGAATTTCTCTGCTTTAAACTAGTATTCATAGCTTAATAATTTAAAATTTGGTCGCCAGAAATCTCAGCTAGTTTATCATAAAATAACTGTTAGTAACAGTCATAAATTGTCGCTGGTTGCAATTGGGGTGTGTTTTTCAATTATGAGAGCAATACAGCATATGCACACTTTGTATTTAATCATTTTCATTGCTTCTAAAAGAAAAAAAATTTAATCGTATTTTATGAGTCTGGGTTTTTTGATGATATAAACCATATATTTGCCAACACTTCTCTCAAGTCTTGCCATTTGCAGTGAATGTGCTTTATCAGTGCATACAGAATGCACATGTATTTTCTTAAATACCTGCAGTATAATACCAAGAGCATCTTGTGTCAGGTGAGGTACAATAGCTGTAAACACTTCATCCACAACATGCCGCAGCAGGTTTGATGGGCGTGTCAGAAGACTGAGAAGAATCTCAGTAAGGACTTCAACCCAATGGGGCTCATCTGGGTAAACAAAAAAATTTTTGTCACTCATTCTCTCACTCACTCACCCATCACCTCCCTTACCTAAGTCAACCACTCACTGCACACCCAACCAACTCTATCTCTCCCTTTAACATTCATTTGTATATTTATTCAATTATTATCCATTTGTTCATCTGTTAAATTTACATTCTAACTGTGAGCGACTAGATGGTCTTACCAGAGGATTGCTGTCCCTTTTCTTTTTCATTTCTATTTTTGTAGCATAGCTTCAGTTCCTAAAAAATAAAATAGTGTGCAAACCATCAAAAAATATTCAGYGTTTAATTATTATTTTCTGTGTTCTGTTGAGTAACACTAAATACAGTACAGTTCTCAACCAATCAGAGCATGCATTGATCACATGTAGTGAGGTGTCTGTAGAAAAATGAAGAAGAAAGAAACAGACTTACTTCMAGTATTTCAGTTGCTTGTTTGGGTTCCGTAAAAAGCTGTAGAACCATGTGAGACAACAGCAGTTCGAATGCTTCATCTTCAGGGGTTATCGTCCCATCTTGATGCTGAGTATAACAGGTTTAAAACAGGTTTATGAAAGGGTTTAAACAGGTTTAAAACTAGGTTTGTAAAAGGTTTAAAAGCAATATAACTCAAAACAACATTGTTAAATACAACATTTACCTTTTTATGAATCTTCGTTATCACTTTTACTGACTGTTCAAACATTTTCTTTGCCTATGAAGAGGAAATTAACAATTTATTATCATCTAACAAACAAATAATGGAGTACAAGGTTAGTAACAGTTTCATTGAGGACACCAAAATTTCTTGACTGAGTCTTACATTTTCTGTCCATGAAGGAGACGACACAGTGTAGTCATCAGAAGCAAGCAATTCCTGCCGAAGAAAGAAATGTCCGTGTGAATTATTGACTGAGTTGAAACTACAAATAAAATGTTTGTACTTATTAATGATTCATATAAATAAACATTGGAATAGGTACCTTGAGGTGTTTGATGATGGTGAACATCCATTGCTGCTTTTCGTCTCCCTTGTCACTGGTTTTGGTTTTAGATTCTAAGCAATGATCACAAAAATAACATCATCATCATCATCACCATCAATATCATCATCATCATCATCATTGATTTCACTATCACCATTATCTTGACCATCGTCACTCATCATCACCCATGATCATCATAATCATCGCCATCGTCATCATCATCATAATCATCACCATCACTATCAGTATCACCATCATCATCACCACCACCATTATATCTATCACTCACATTATCATCATTATCATCAGCATCACTTTCATCATGAACATTGCTGTTATCATTAAATTATGAGTGAATTGAGCATGTGTCTTGCTACCTTTGTCTTGTCTTCCTTGAGGTGTACCAAGATCCTTTATGATAGTAAACAAGCGCTGTTCAGATATATCTCTAACTTGTTTGGATAAGGGAGCCTAACAAGGTTTAAAAGGAAAAAGAGAATCGTAAACTYCCAGACATTATATATGTAGCTATCATAAACTTACTTTTTCTTTTTTAGTAAATGACAGAATCAGAATCTAAAGCAGTTCATGCATATATTTGCAARTGATAACCATTTGTCACCAGTATAGACCCAAGCCAAGAAAAAGGAAACCTTCAGATCTTTTGGATATAGATGTGACTCCAATCGTGACTCCATAGACCTTTTTGAGATAGCAAACATGGTGCATTGTGGTCTAGCTTGGGTACAAAGGTCTCTTGTTCATCATGCCTTATATGGTGTTCTTTGTACCCAAGCTAGACCACAATGCATACTGTTTATGGAAATCAGAAATGTTGCTTTTGACTCTKATTCCATCGCTAATTAAAACCAACCTTTAGTGTAAATTACATAATTTACTGTAGAATCAAAGGTACAGATGCTACCATAACATACCAATTTGTTGCCTAGTGTGCCACTATCTCCTAACTCAAAGTATGCCGTTTCAATCAGAAAAAATATAATTTTCTTTCTCCATGGGCCAGAATGGTCAAGGTTCTTCTTCTTGCTCAATAACAGGATCTGGGAAAATCAGATTAACGATCTTTTAATTTTGAATTGCGTTTGATTCTTTACTGGACAATAATGAAAAGAAAATGCACCAGATGTAAAATTTATGTAGACTAATAGCATGGTCACTTGGAATCAATGCGATCCATTGAGTTTCCATAGGGATGTTTAAATACTAACATCCCTATGTTGTTAGACCTTCGACGAAACCCTATGTCATATATTACTCCCTAATCACCCTATATGTCATGTCTTACTAAATAATAAACAAATAAAATAAATAAATGGGAATTAACAGTGGCATTTCTACAGAGTAGCTATTCATCCACTGTCATTCCACTTGGAATTTAGGAGTTGATTTTTGCGGAGGGAGGAAAGCCGGAGAACCCGGAAAACCCTCGAAGCACAGAAGAGAACCAACAAACAACTCTACTCACATACAACACCAAGCTCAGCGGGACTCGAGCCCCGGTCGCATTGGTGAGAGGCGAGCACTCTCACTGCTACCCCACCCATGCTTCCCATATAAGTATACTTAAAGTATAAAAATAAACATTTGATTATTTTTGTACCTGRTTGAGGATTGACATTCTTGTGACATCTACCTCTCTCAAAGATGGCCTACAATAAACATGAATAAAAAAAGACTCCCAAATTACTTCCATAAAATCTATACCCTATAATTAAAGTACATAAGTTTTTTTTTGGTGGGGGAGGGAGTGAGGTGGTAAGGTAAGCAATTTTGTTCTATTCTGTAAAACACTACCCTGGCTTCCAGAGAGCCTATGACTGAGAAGCACTGGAGCAAGAGAGACTCTGGAACCCATGGAAATAAAATAGGAGAGAAAAACTATACAAGTGTAAAAGATTACTTGTTGTTTGATATAAAGCTTTCTTTATTGCTGTATAAAATGCACTCAAYTTCACACACTTCCACTCAACGACTCAACCAACAACTAYGATAGTCATCATCAAAAACTGATGCCATCAAAGTGTACGCGTCAACTATATTTCCATATGAAAATCACAATCTCTACACAAGAATCAAAATTAAGCTTGAAGCATCCATACTTTCCATCTTCTGTGTTGCCTACACTTCCATTTTTGAAACACTCTATGCACCATGAAGCAAGCCTTTCTAATCCAGACTCTTGAAGCTGAAAGAGAAAAATAAAACAAGTTGTCAAGATGGTTCCTTGGTATTCAAGAAATTCATTTTCAAGAAAAAAAATTCTTACTTTTCCCATTAATGTTTCTACTGTTTTTGTTTTTGTCAGCTTGTCAAACTGCAAGTTTCCCTGTCTAAAAGACAAAAGACAGCTTTTAATGTGAGTATTCAGAAAAGAGTAATCATACTTCACCACTAAAGGAGTTTATCATACTTGCCATCAAAGGGGAGGGATGAGAGAAGTGAGAAGAGAAGAAAGGAGAAGAAATGAGAAGAAATGAGAAGGGAAGAGAAGGGAAAAGAAGCACAGAGAAGCAAGAAGAGGTAGGAGAGGAAAGGAGAAGGGAAGAGAAAGGACTAGAAATAAGGAGAAGTGAGATCAATGTTGGAGGCTATACAGTAGTAAAATAGTTTACATGTGGACAACTGGCCATTTCATTCTAAACTATTGCTTCATRTTTGTCACACCACTTTACCTTCCAAGTAGCTGCATTACAACAGCAGCTATTACGTCTTGATCTTTATTTTCAGCAAGAGCRATAGGCATTGATGARGACTGTGRATYATAGAGAAAATGTTTGATTTATCAAAGAATATTGCAAGCTATACTAACACAGGGGYGGATCCAGGAATTTGTTCAGGGAGGGGTGCACTGCACAAAGTTAASCCAGGRAGGGGTGCACCCCTTAGAATCAAAGGGMAAAAACATTATTTTGCATTGGTTATCTTCGAAGTARGGGCACAATGTTGAACCAGGGAGGGGTGCGCACCCCCTGCACCCCTCCCTTGGATCMRCCACTGTAACAAAGTAAAGAGGTAATTTCSTATTTTARAATGTTTACCAAATGTTTAGCRGCATTGTGAAGATAGCTTTGATTTGATGACAAATTATTGATAAAAGATCTCATGACATTTTTACTTAGTACCATAGCAACCTAAATGGGAAAACAAAAATAACTGTTAATGTATGACAAAATAATAATACACAGGGACTGTTAAGAGCAAGGGCTATAGCCCCTAACGTAGCTGTGAGAGATCTCTCCACTCACTATTGCAACCTGTTTTCGAGTTCCACCAAGCTCAGTGTCGTATGAAAACCCAGAGAAAAACCCTCGAAGCACAGGAGAGAACCAAAAAACAACTCTACTCACATACAACACAGAGCCTGGGGGGACTCAAACCCAGGTTGCATTGGTGAAAGGTGACACATTAGCAGCACACACCACCTGTGCTAAATAAAAATAAAATACACAGGAAATGATATGGACATTGTACAGGATTAAGACTTTTACCTGGTCAACTTGGAGTTTTGGTAAGACTTTGGATATGAGTGAAAAACCAAGGTATTTTCTATCATGTGTAGACTTGAACAAACCATCTTGAAATAACATGACAATAGATAAAAAAATATYAAAGAAATGATGGATGGATGGGATGTGATTGATTGAAAGGAATGGGAAAGATAGATGGATGGAATACATGAAGTTGATTGGGATGGGTGGTTGGGATAATATTAATAAAACAGGATGGATGGGATCAATCGGAATGGGATTACTGGATGGGATAGATTTGATGGAATAYAAATTGTGGGTAGGATCAAATTGAATGGAAAGGATAGGATGGCTTGGATGAAATAAAGGGACAGCTGGGATARACTTATTGGAATAGGATAGATGAACGGCACAGAGTTTAATTTTAATGGAATGGAATAAGCATATGATGGATAGATTGAATYAAATGATAGGATAAGATGGGATAGGTAGATTTAATGAAATGAAACAGATTGATAAGAGGGAATGGTATAATGAATGAGATWGATGGCTGAGATAGAAGAATGGGATGGATGGCAGAATGAAACTAGACGAAACTTACCATCTACCACAATTCTCCAAAACTCTTCAAAACACTCAGACCCATCTTGAAAAACTTGACTTAATACCTCATCCCAGACACAGTGCACATTGGGATGAACAGAAGTAGATTCCTATTGAGCCAGACATAAAACAAATAGAATGCCAAAAAATTATTCTTATGAAACATTCGCACATACAACTACTCCTCTCAGTCTCTTCTCTTTCTTACTCTTCCTTTTACTCCCTCTGCATTTGTAAGTTTTCCCACCTGCCCGACAATGAACTACTGTTAGGGGATGRGTGGGGTCCTATTGGTCACCRTCTTTCACTTATCCACTGTGGGCTYGAGTMATGGATATTACCTAGTCTAAGAATTGCATGAATCATGATTTTTGATTTATATATGAACAAGTTTTACCTGTAACACATTTAACAGCTTTGAATAATTCTGCTTATCTAATATATTGACACTATTCCARGCTTTCTTGAAAGTCTTCTTGTCTAGATTTTTCTATCAAAAAAACAAACAAATTGCAACAAGGGTTGTTAGTTATCAATTGGGTTTTTGGGCTTCCTGTGTGATACCACAGGCATCCCATCAACCTAAATCATGTACTAACCTCAAATCTTTTTTTTACAGATAAAGCGACAAGAAGAGAGTCTGGCGAAGCAGTTGGCCATCCACCATAAACAAAATCCCTGACCGATGGCAGAACATGTTGTTCAAAGACATCATATGAAATCTGGAAACAGAAGACATATATGTTATTTACCGGCCAGGAGGTCCGGATAGGGAAAAACTGTGCCCAAGGTCTTGAATATACGGACCGAGGCCGTTAGGCCTCGGTCCGTTTTCAAGACCGAGGGCACAGTTTTTCCCTATTTGGACCGACTATAGGACGGTAAATAACTCATTAATTTTTTTCTTGTATTTATTTTACTTGCTTTTATTATCGTTTCGTGTTGTTCGGACCGTTCGGACCGCACGAACGGGTAGATACTGACAAAATACCGCCAGCTCAAACAGCCAATCAGAACGCACCATTTTTTAGGATACCGGACCGGAAAAAAATAAACAACATTTATTTTTCATTCATTCATTCATCCACTTTCCACTTACTCTATTATGAGTTTCAAACCAGGATAAAATGTTGTTTTTTTTCTTTTTTTATTGAAGACAACTTCTAGTTATGTTACATATATACCATACCAAGAGCACTTCCACAAGTTTATTTATTTATTTTTTATAATTCGTACGAAAATTCCACTGTCACTTTTTGTTCAAGATCTTCATAAGGAATCAATATTTTCAAAATGTTCTAAGTTTTGTCAGCTTACCATGGTAATAATATCCATAATGGACTTCATAYAAAGCTCTCTCAGGTAAATTTTCTTTTCACTCAGCTGTTTTAAAGTTGAAACAACCTGTTCCAACCAAGTGCAATCTTTTGCCTAAATGAGAAATGTTAAGAGTAAAGTAAGTAGCTAACTCAYTGATAGAACTGGAATTTAGCAATGTTTGGATGTTTGAGTACCCTTGGACCAGAGAAATGTTTTTCATGGATTTACTGAGAGCAGCAAAGCTGGGAGAATTGAAAGAGTCTAAGAATTCCCAAAATGCCAGAGGTGATATGTGAGGTACCATATGTGAGTGCATTACCACTATGCCACCCTTGGACAAAGCTTCATAAGATTTGATTAGAAATCGACATTAACAATGCCAGCGTTGTWATGGATACAAACATTCAATATGATTTTACAGTACCTTAGTTTTGGTGCTCAGGTCATGTGATCTGACAACAGACATTAAACCAAAAATATGGCCAATATATGCATCTCTTTCTTCCTAGAAAAAATAACAAGTTGATCAGGCTATAAGTAGCTCAACTTTAAATAGGCCACATAAATTCATCATCAATAATATCTATAACCTTCCTCAGCAACRATGGAATAATAGGCTAATGTGTCTTATACCTGACTTTTAACACTCCCTGTGACTTGCAAATGCTCCTCCAATAACTTCATTATATCTGGAGTGCTGATACATTTAAATTGATGTAGAATTTCTGCCAAAACTGTRGCAAATCCTTGTCTGGCTCCTTTTCTTGATGAAGCAAGGCCCTTTGCTAGACGTTTTATGCTATAATTCAAGTCAGTGCAAAGGGGATCTTCATTTTCACCCTGTCAGTTTACAAATACATTATGTTATTGTCA